TCAGCTTTCTCCCAGACTGAAGTGCTGGCAGAATCCACTGCTTCTTTGATGATCCCTCCTTCCCCCCAGTGCGCAGACACAGGTACCATATCTGACTCTCCATAAACCTGGCTAACACTCTTCACTGCACCCTGGTGATTCCCTAAGATCCAGCCCCACCCAACTTCCAGGCTCACCCAACCTGCTTCCAGGGACTTTTCCATATAAACGGACTGTTTTGGCTCATGCTCAGACTTTCCTAAAATCTCTCAAAGGTTCACAAAACCCAAACAAGCAACATCTGGCCTCAGCATGCCCTGTACCTCTTGCTGAGCAGCCCCATGCCCAGCACTAGTGGCAAAAGGCCATGGTTCATGGCTTGGCCTCTTGAGGCACCTCCAAGCCCAGCGTGGGTGGAGGCCATCTGCGGATTGCTGTGTGGTTCATTCTAGGTGGCCCCAGGCAGAGCAAGGCTGCAGCTGAACTTGGCCTGTGCCAGGGTCACTCCCCAGGAGGTCCCAGAGCCAGCAAGCCCAGTAGCCAGCTTCAGACTTAGCAAGAGCATCATCTAGCTACCGCTGAGAACGACAAAACCAAAGGGCAGATTGGGCAGGCACCAGAGCCCTGATAAAGCGAATCCTGCTCCATAGGGTCAGCCCCTGCAGAGCAGCTCCTCCACTGTAGTCATGGCCAGTCCTCACAACCAATCAGCCTGAGGGTCAATCCCTCCCACTGACATGGAAACAGCAACCAAGGTTCAACTACAGCAGGAGGGCACACACAACCCACACAAGGGACACACCTGGAGCACAAGGCTCAGGTGAGACCAGGGAGACTGTGCCACTAGGCCTCACAGGGCACTTACTATATTAAGTCCACTCTACTAAGACCAGGAAACATAGCAGCCTACCTAATTACATAGAAACAAACACAGAGAGGCAGCCAAAATGGGGAGACAAAGAAACATGCCCCAAATGAAAGAACAAAAATCCAGAAAAAGAACTAACCAAAAGAGAGACAAGCAATCTACTAGACGCAGAGTTCAGAACACTGGTTATAAGGATGTTCAATGGTCTCAGGAAGAACGTCAACAAGGAGATAGGAAACATAAAAATGGAGACAGAAAACAAAAAAGAACCAGTCAGAAACGAAGAATACAATAACTGAAATGAAGAATACATTAGAGGGAATCAACACATTAGATGTAGCAGAAGATCAAATCAGTGATTTAGAAGATAAAGTTGCAGAAAACACCCAATTGGAGCAGCAAAAAGAAAAAATAATTTAGAAAAAATGAAGGTAGTTTAAGGGGCCTCTGGAACAACATCAAGCATACCAACATTCACATCATAGAAGTACCAAAAGGAAAAGAGAGAGGGCAAAGAATTGAAAATGTATTTGAAGAAATAATGACATAAAAGTTCCCTAACCTGGTGAAGGAAATGGGCATATGAGTACAAGTCCAGGGAGCACAGAGAGTCCCAAACAAGAAGAACCCAAAGAGGCCCACACCAAGACACATCATAATTAAAATGGCAAAGGTGAAAGACAAAGAGAGAATCTGAAAAGCAGTTAGTAAGTCCCATAAGACTGTCAGCTGATATCTCAACAGAAACTTTGCAGGTCAGAAGGGATTGGCACAAAATATTCAAAGAGATGAGAAGTAAGGATTACTCTACCCAGCAAAGCTATCATTTAGAATTGAAGGACTGATAAAGAGCTTCCCATATAAGAAAATGCTAAAGGAGTTCATCAACATAAAACTAGTATTACAAAAAATGATAAAGGGACTACTTTAAGAAGGC